CCTACCTCCAGCTATACAAACTCCCGAATGAACTTTGCCACACTTTCCACAAGTACGGCTCTGCCAAACCCCAGACCATGTATCAACAGTCTTAGACTGCTTAGGCGCCAACTGAGACTATGCCAGTGCCTGACGTTGTTCCTTCAGCTGCAGCTCTATCTCCAACTCACGCCGCCTCGCAACTTCCTGAAGGTCCAGGACGGTATCCTATTGTTGTGTAAATAGGAACTGTCAAATATCAGTCTTGAGCATACTCCGATATCGAGTCATCTGAGACTGCTCTGAAGCGAACTCCAGGCAAAACATAGCCCTCTCTGTGAATATACGGGTAATCTCCATTACAGACTCCCCATCCCGTCTCAAGGTCAGACACTCCTACGCAAGCCGCTCCAACTCAACGCGTGGAACGAAGCAGGTGCGGAACATATCTCTAAACTGCTCCTAAGTAACAACAGCCTGCTGATCATCAGTATACGACCCAGTCGTCAGCCTCCACCAATCCTTTGCCCCAAGCCTCAGCAGGTTCAGGTCACACCTGACCTTTTGGTCTGTAGGACATGAGCACGTGAAGAAACAGCCCTCCACGTCAGATAACCACCTCATAGCCCTAATCGCATCCTGTGTACCATCAAACATTGGGGGCTTCGTATTATCGAAGTCCCAGTACTGGAATGCCCTGCCGGCTCCTCCTCCAACCCCTACCGCAGTTACAGCCGAAGTGGCTGCAGCGGCAACTGTCTTTGTTAGAGCTGCATATCCCTCATCAAAATACTCAACCATCACGGTCTTAATTGACCCAAACATCTCTGGCAGCTGCACTCGTAACGCAGCACCAATCTCGTCGTGCATGATCTCCCAGATCCTGGAATCCAACTCATCTGTCCCTATCTGAACCACAGGCTTGGGTGCTACCGGCACCTCCAACCCTCCGTCTCCCGACCCCGATCCTGATCCTGATTCGGATCCCGAAGCAACATGTCTCGTCACCACCATACTGAAATATATACAAGTCATCAGATAAATAACATAATGTCGGGAGACCAAAACCCAAAAACCCTAGGGGTTGTGACTTCCTTGCTACGCGTATGGGTCCTGTGCTTCCACTAGTACGGGACCATACTACCTTCCACACCTACCCATACTTGTCTCAAGTATCACCACAATGCCCTAACAATATCATCAACATAGGAAATGCGCTCAAACCTCATTCTAGGGGAACACCAAACACCTCGCATCTATACTCACATCTTATCACGACTCTCACATCCATGAAACTTCCATCATCCCCTGCAGCGCCAATGCATGCTAGTTGCACATAACGCTAGACCCAATAGACTTTCGAATATCCAATCCTAGCTGAAGGTCGAATCAACATTTTCAGGCTATAAGGTCTTTATTATGCACAGCCGTGATGCATACACTAAACATCTACAGTTATGATGTCAATTCCACATACATGAAACCCTAGGCTAATAGGCAACATGCAATCAGGCAAATCTATCATGTGATTCCTTAAGATCCCTAACCTAGCACTAGCATGTTGTTCTAACATATCAGAATATCAAATAACTTCATGGTATTTTGGGGTTTACTTATAAGCTCTGGCTGATCGTACCCTCTGCATCCTCCATGCTTTATTTTGAAAACAATTTTAAACTTATTTCCGAAAATCTCCTTGATTTGAGACTGGATTCACACGAGTGTTCCTCCAATTCACTCAAACCAAGACTCTCATACCAACTTATAACATCCATAAAATTCACACCAAATTTAAAATTTTTCAATCATAAATAAAAACCACATAGCATTCTTTACAAAATGTTTTCAAATCATTTTTCCATCAGAGTGTCCCAAAAATCATAACATAAGGATGAGGAGCGATACGATCATGCCTTCGCCTTTCCATGATCTCCTGAAGTACCTGAAACAATAAACTGAAAATTGTAAGCCCAATGGCTTAGTGAGCTACCCCCAAAATACCAATATCATAACAGTAATAATCAATCAATCAACATGCATACTAGGCCATCGCCCTTACTAGACCGCCCTACCCGGCATATAGTCTGTCTGGATCAATCCCGAGCCTTCGGCATGACTAGTCTGCCATGTGGGCCTACAATCTCCCTGGACCTCTCATAGGGTATATTGGCCTTCAGCACAAAGCATGACCGCCTCAACCTAACCAACAAGCAAATAACCATGTGTGCATAGCTATCATATACTGGCATATACAACCATCATACATATCTATCTCACTGATCACAGTCATAGAATTCTCCTGTAACTAGAGTACCGACCCAACAGGTCACTAACACACCAATCCCTACGGATCATAAAAGCATAACATACTGTGTACCTCGATTCCAAACTAACAAATCATAACCACACGCAACATACCATAACAATAACAACTAAAGGGCCGACCTTGGTGCCGTAGACCCTATCGATATAGTGAGGATAACTCACCTCGCAGATGTCGACTCGGAAGGTAAACTCCAACTCTCGGATCACTCGACACTGACCCCACCACCTATAACCATAGTTCAATATACGCATAAGTCTTTATCCTTATAAGGTACTCCATAACCTTATAGTCAACCCCTGATGAAGGTCAAAGTCCTCAGTCAAGGTCAACAGTCCATGTTGACCTCAACTCGCTGAGTACACCCAACTACTCGCTGAGTCATTTGAAGCACAATCCAACTCACCGAGTCATCGAGATGACTCATCGAGTTCCTTCGAATCCCGATCAGACCTTAAGGACACCCATCGAGTTCCCTCCCTACGACTCGAAGGATATACTTGTGAACATATTCTTGGTTAAAACTCATCTGACTCGCCGAGTTGTTCTTGAACTCGTTGAGTGTTATGACAATCTTCATCGGACTCGCCGAGTTGTTCAACCAACTCGTCGAGTTCAATGGCCATCTTCATGCGACTCGCCGAGTCGACCCTGCGACTCGCTGAGTCCATTCAGTCCTCTTCCCATACAGATCCATTTTGAGCCATGCAGCAGCTCCAAATCACATATCCAAGCTTCTAAGGCATGCCTGTCACGTAAAGTTGCAAACTTTACATGCATGCATGGCTTTAAAGGCTCAAAATGGCAAATCTAAGCTATTGATGGGTCTTTATGTACAAAGGGGACCTCAGTCACAACTAAAGCTGCAATTTTATGCTTCTAGAATCCAAAAAGAGTCCAGATCTGAAGTTACAACTTCAGATCTAGCCCATAGCTCATCATACCAACTTGATATTCCATGAAAACCCTAAAACTCACCCAATAAAGGAGATCTATAAGGAGAATGACAGTTTGGGTACCTTTTGAAGTTGATATTTGAGATGAGTGTTGATTCCCACACTCCAATTCCTTCAATCTCCTTCTCCTCCATGTCTTTTTCTTACAAGGACTCTCTTTCAAGCTTCAAACACACACAAGGCACACACACGAATAAGGCTCTCAAGGGTTCTTTGAAACTGTAAGAAGGTCCAAGGGAGGCTAAGGTCCCTTTAAATAGGGGTGCAAACCCCAGGAATTAGGTGTTTCTCTTGCCAGCTCCTACTCACCGATTCCCATTATGGACTCGCCGAGTAGGTCACTTAACCCGTGATCCTTCTCACTGATACTCGACGAGTAGGTAAACCAACTCGTCGAGTAGGGCCTAATCCAAAAACTCATATTTACCATACTTGAGAATCGGGGCATTACATTTAGTTATGATTTGAAATTTGTGAACAACTATTAAGAATGTATATTGTATTTTAATAATTTATAGATAAAAAACTTTTGATAGAAAATAAATTTTAAAATTAATAAATTATTATTATTATTATTATTATTATTATTATTATTATTATTATTATTATTATATATATATATATATATATATAATAAACTGTTATTTCGGTTTTTTTGGACTATCCGATTCTTATTTTATAAACCATAACAATCTAAAATCCAAAATAATAATTCGCTTTTGTCGAAAACCAATCCAAAAATCTTAATATCCGAATCAAATTGTCAAATCCAAATTGTTCAATTGGACAATTCGGTTTTATCGAATTATTGAACAACACTAACTAAAACGGCACACAATATAGGAAGACAAGAAAATAAGGAATCATGTGATAGATAAAATTATAGAATATATACAATGCATACCAAATATTAACATCAAAATAACAAATTAAGACGATAGACATGTTTAGTAAAGATCTATTCTATTAATGATCGTTGTGGAAGATGAAAATATTTGTTACATAGAAATGATAGCAGATGATCGATATCATGAATAAGCTATTTTAGATTATGTTTTTTTTAATTGTTACGAATATTAAATTTGACTTGTATAGATCCTATACTGGATAAAGTTATGTTTTTCGGTTTTTACCAATATTGAATTTGATTTTTTGCACTATCCTTTGGATATGGTTTTTAAATAATATGATTTTCATATTTGTTTATGTTTGTATTTATTTGTAACTTATTGGTTTATATTAGAAATATGTTTTCTAGTGCAAGGTGTATATATAAAACAATATTAACGGATAATAAAATAAAATATTTGAAAACAAGTAAACTTAAAATGAAAAATTATAATAAAATAGATATATACTTTGACAAATTATATATATATATATATATATATATATATATATATATATATATATATATATATATATATATATATATTGAAAATGATTTAAAAAAAAAAAAAAAAAATCATTCTCATAATCTCATTTTAATACTTAACCAGACAAAACAAGAGATGTTTTAGAAACATTTCTCTACTTAATTCTATCAAACAAACGATATCAATTATTTTGGACATTTAAATTCTCTGATATTTCATTTCCCTTTATCAAAACATAACGGCCTAAGACTATATACGCAATATAATCTATTTCTAGCTTCCCTTTCTACAAATTTGAAATTTTATAAATAAAAATCAAAAAAAATACAAGCCACGAAATTTTAGAATGAACACTTGTATATTAATGTCGAATTATGTCGGTATTATCCTATTCATTTATGGTGGTAATTAGGCAAAATGTTTAATCTGTAAGTCAAACCGGTTGTGACTACTGCAACCGTGATATTTCAGCTGTAACTGGTCTATTCATTTTTTTGTACATATGTGGATTATTTTTTAATTTATAAATTAAATCAACGAGAAGGATATATGAGCATTATTATTGGCATTTATAAAAGAAAGAGAAATCAGTAGTTTCAGGCAGAAGAAGAAAGAAATGATGAGCCAGGAAGAAGAGATGGGTAACAGGAAAAATAAGCAAGAAAATGATGATGATGATGATCATGAAAACGACATGGTGATGCCTGGCTTTAGATTTCATCCAACGGAGGACGAGCTTGTAGAGTTCTACCTTCGCCGTAAGGTAGAGGGCAAGAGATTCAATGTTGAACTCATCACTTTTCTTGATCTTTATCGTTATGATCCTTGGGAACTTCCTGGTATACTTTCGATTCTCCCTTTCTTTACTTGAACCTAGCTATTTAGCTATCTACCTACCTTCAGTTTAATTCGTCTATTTATTCATTCTGCTATGATTCTTATCAGATAACTCATTTTTTCACTACAATTTTCTCGTCACCGTAAACTAAACTGCCATCCTCATCATCATATCATATCGTGGTCCTCTACTTTTTTATCCGGTGAATGAGGATGTGGGTGTCTTTCTTTCTTGACCATTTTTTGTGGGTATTTAGTAGAATTTAGTGTGTTGTTCTAATTTGAAATCTGTAGTAGTTGAAATCTGGCCAAATTACACGTATTCGACATCGGCATAATCACGTTTCGTCATGAGTCACGACTCTCATCTCTTCTGGTCGAGCTAATGATGATGCATGCGCAATTTTCAAGGGTATTTGCTAGGTGCGCGCGGTTATTATTCATTATTTAATAACTGAATTGCGTAAAATTACGTGCTTTTGTGTGTACTGAGATTTCTCCTTCGTTCGTTGTGTATCTTTTGTTTCATCGCTCCAATTACAGCATGGCCTTAACCGAGGTGCAACATTCATCATATATAATCTGTCATCTTTTCAGTTAGCGCAACTGTATTTTTTGTTTGTGTTGTCCATGATTTTACAATTTTCTTATAATTTGATGGATTATGATTATCTGGGTTAACAAATTGTTCATTTTCCTTGTCCTGGAGCTGACGCTATTTTAGTTTGTTTAAATCTTAATTAGATTAATACCCTGATGTTTATCGATCCATGTATTTATCCATACAGGTGGATATTGTATAATTCATTTTTTTATTCTTGTTTTACATATTGCTTTAGCATTGGCAGCAATTGGAGAAAAGGAATGGTTTTTCTATGTTCCAAGAGATAGGAAGTACCGCAATGGGGATCGCCCAAACCGTGTGACAACTTCGGGTTATTGGAAGGCCACTGGAGCTGATAGAATGATCCGAACTGATAATTTCCGGTCCATTGGGTTAAAGAAAACCCTCGTTTTTTATTCTGGAAAGGCTCCCAAAGGCATTCGAACAAGTTGGATCATGAATGAGTATCGGTTGCCTCAACATGAAACTGAAAGGTTACAGAAGGTACCAATGAGTTCTCTTCAACTAACTCTTAATTATTATTATTATTATTATTATTATTATTATTATTATTATTATTATTATTTTAAAGAACGGCGACGATTTAACATCTGTCCTTGTTAGAAAAATTAAAAACTTTGTGCTCCAAGGTTTCGAACACTCGAATCAAATGAGTAAAATGGTTATAAACAGAAAAATGTGAACTTATTTTGAAGTGAAAGGAAATCTGACTCAAGATGCCTTCAACTTAATGAATGTTGGTTCTCAATTTGTTCCTCGCAATATTTAAAGTGATAAAACAAACGTATATAAACTGCTGAACCATGTCACCGCTAACTTTAAATGCAAGTCTCTTTCTGCTCATCATAATCACCGCTAGCTTTAAATGCATGGATTAACTTTATTTTTTGGTTTTTGTAGGCCGAGATTTCACTGTGTAGGGTCTACAAACGAGCTGGAGTAGAAGACCACCCATGTCTCCCTCGCACCCTCCCAACGACTAGGGCTTCAATATTATCTGCAAGAGCTTCTAATGTGGAAAAGAAGCAACATTCAAAGAACTTGTTAAGTTTCCAGTCCTCTTTGGAACAACAAGGCCAAAGTTCAAACCAGCAAAATGACGAAAAATTAAGCGAAACGAGTGGTAGTAGCACCACGGACATCGTTGGAACCGCTCTTGGTCTCTCCAGTCCTATCAACCCCTCTAACTACAACAGCTTTATTACTTCATTTCCGCCCATCACCACCACACTTCCACCACACGTACATCATGTACATACGGCCTCTTTGGTCTCCCCAACCGCCTCCACGTCCTCCTCCGTATTCCCAACCACTGTTGATGATCTTCACAGAATTCTAAGCTATCAACAAGCTTCTGTCAATAATCCATCATCTCAGGCTTTTCATATCCAAAATTATCAACATAAAATTTCTAATACTTTTCTTCCACAACCACAACCACATCAATTGCCACCACAACCACAATCACAGCATCAACTGCAAATGCAACCGCATTCACAAGGACTTCTTGCTCTTAATAACATGGCAGGAGAGGTTCACGTCACTTTTCCTGATAGGTTTTGGGATTGGAATCCCATGCCCAGCTGCGAGGGAAGCAAGGATTATACCAACTCTTTCAAGTAATTATATATATAATGAGGAACTTAAATAGTAAGATTCATGAGAGACTATCATTTTTAATATTGGCTTTCATATGGCCATGCTTAGTTGGAGACAATATATATGTGTAAGCTAATTGAATAACAAGTAGCATGTCGTAGCTGACATGCTTTATGCTAATTCTTAATATTTTAAAGACATGTATTGCATAATAGGGTTTGGAAATTATGAATCTTATGGCTTGTGTCTTTGTGATCCATTTGTACTTTTGCTGGAGCTAAGCTTCCATCAGCTAGAGACCTTTATATGTGTATGAATAGGGTAGATGTTAAAGTATGATATCTACTTCACACTTTTTCCCTTAGTATTTCCTTAAGACATCCAAATTAGTTACTGATTGCTCGTTTACTCCATTTCATTCTTTGTTTCTCATGTGTTGATAAATGAGGACATAAAACAAACAAGTGAATCAGATGAAACACTGCATATTTAGTTGCTTTATGTCTTGCTGAACAACATGCAAAAGAACAAATTACCTAGTGATTGGTTGAGGTTCCTACTTGCCTCAGAGGACAATTTGTCAGCTCTTAAAGCGACACACATGACTAAGATGCAAGATAAACAAACACGACTTACTTAAGTACCTGATTCACAGAATTAGGGTAATTTTAATACGTTGAATGCGCAAAAACTAGAGAGATCTTTCACTTACAAGAAAATGATAATCGTTGAGCCCTTGAATTCCGGCTGTTTTCACGGCACTCAAGTCCCTCAGAAAACAATTAATCTCCACACATCTCAACACCTCTAAATGATCGATGCCTATTGCCTTAGAGCCTTGAAAAACCTAATATGTCCGATAACTTATTTGTTTTTCTAGCGGAAATGTATATAATTTGTTTTTCAAGAGTCACTTCATCGGTGATAATATTTTAGGAATTAATCTAAACATTTGAAGTTAATATGTTGAGCCCAATTACAGCCTTGATGATGTTATTGGGAAAACCTTTAGGACAAAGCACCGTCTATATATGCACTGGTCTGATATAAAGAAGACACGTACCTTCAATTTGCTTCAACATTAATGCATTGATCAACACAACTCTTCATTCTCTTTCGGGAAAAAGTGCAAAAGCAAACACTTTGTTGTTTTAGCTAAATTTTCACATCTGGTATGGAAGAAAACTAAATCTACCACCTTGACCCAATTCGCTTATTAAACTACTGGCGTAGTATAAGGTATTTAACTAAGCAGCATATTCTCAGAGTTATTTTGGATTACAAAATGAATCATGTGCATGATTCAAGTTTTTTATATCAAAAGCCTCAACCATTTTTGCATCAAAAGGACATCGTCTAACCATCTGATCTTGGACTTGAAAGAGTTGCCTGAATTGGTTTTATTTCTATACGTACATACATCAACAACAATTTCCTGGTAACCGAAACTTCGTGGGGCTGAACTTTAACACACAAAAACGACTGGGCTAGCTAGCTGCCTTACTTCTGTATCATATTTTAATTTCATTCACATTAACAAATTTTATTTAAAACTTATGTCACCACAATAAGATATTAGATTAATGCTACACTATACTTGAACAGTTGAACTCATTAATTTCCATCTCATAAATCATAACGACCGTCAAAACTATTTTAGTTTTCCTAATCCAGTAATTCTCATCACAAAACCACCTTGGAAAACGTGTAAAAGCTGGGGTTATTCTGGAGAAGGTGAAAAGTATGTTGAACTGAAGGCGCAAAACAACAATGGAGGATAACGATGGATTGTACGACTTTGAAGTTTCGGAGACTGTAGGGACATAGCTAATTGATGAAAACATATGGAAGATGGAAGTTATCAATTTTTCAAGTCATTTTTGACAACTCCCACTACATTCCATCTAGGGTTCTGGTCCAGTCGAATGAGAGGAGATAGTAGCTGAAAAGTCTTCCTTGACTTAGGGTAGGGTTGGGCTAAAGCCTAAATTATCATTATTGCTTGTTCTCTGGCCCCGGACGGCCGCATGGTTCGGGTGTGCCTAATCCCATGACTGTCCCATGTTTTACAATTGCAGCTCTAGTTTCAATTTTTTTTAACCATATTTATATATAGAAAAAATAATAATTTACCAAACATAGTTTATTACTATCATCTAGTGGGTACCATAACCTCAGATGCATGCATGACGTCAAAATGGTGTAGAAGCATACAAAAACCATACTAAAGTTTGACATTAAATAGTGTCATGTTATAATAATTAAATAGTAGTTAATTTTGTGTAACATTATTGATTACACCACATTTCAGTTTAACATTTGTCTCTAAACCGAGTTCACTAAAAAAAGTATAGGCATTAACAGCGAACCCAAAAGTCGCCCCTAAATGTATTGTACATTGCTAGAAACTTGGGCTTGAGCTACGGATTTAGAGAAAGATTTATTCTGTTGCAAATTTTAGGCTTATAGAAAAGGAATTACCAGAGATCCACGATGGTTTAGACAATTGTTTTATTTATTTAACATATTAGAGAGGGTTTAGCGAGGGATCAGCTACGGATCTCACAAAGTGTTTATCGACACACCCAGTAATCGGTGGAAAACTAAGGAATTTGGCGAGGGTTCAACGAGGGGAAAAAATTGTCGACTTTTTGCCATCTGGTACGTGTTTAGCGAGAGAATGCCGACAGAGCGTACGCACGTTATGTTTTTTCAATTGACGATCTCTCGTTGAAATTGGCGCAATCCAATTCCAGTTTCACGATGTTTATGTAAGTTTCCTTCCCTCCCAAATCTGTTTTATCACTCCAATTGAACACGCATGACTCTCGAGTTGCAACTTAACCTAATCTCACCCTCTACGTTCAAACAGATGACGACACCATGGACCATTGCAACTTCCGATTCCGACAGCCTATATATTCTTAAAATCTAAAATTATTCTTGGTTAACTTCCGATTAAGGTAAATCTCTTGATTTTATTTGCTTTAGTGATACATTAGGTTAGGTTTGGTTCAGTTGCACAATATATTATATTAGGGTTTAATTTCTTCATTTGTTCCACTTTTTCAATTGTCGTTCCTCTTATATCGATTGCATCTATATTAGAATAGATACTTAGAATTAGAACTTAATTTGGGGCTTGATTGATTGCTTTAGTCATATATAAGCCTAGCAGCATAAGTTTTGTGCATCAAAGCTTCACCCTGAAGCTCTCTTGTCATCTTTGTACATGCATCCACAAGCTCTGCAACAAGCCTAACATCACCAGTTTCATAGGAAATGATTGTTTGAATGGTGAAGAGTCACTACCCATCTCATAGTTGTAAGATGAATTGCTCTATCAAAAAAGTAACTTATCAACTTTGAGGAGACAATCTTATGCTATTGTTCAAGAAGCACTTATGATGTAATGGTTACAACTAGTTCAGTTAGCATCTCAAGCAACATGGAGTGACACATTCTGATATGCAAGGGTTGTTTATCAACTAATGTTCTATTTTTGTTTTCTTATTTACATTTACATACTTCACCCCATGATTTAGAATTACACCTTTTTCAGATTCTACACCTTCATCCAAACGATATGACGGTTTCACAATATGCATCTTGCTAGTAACTCGATAGATGCCCCTAAAAATACACATAATATAGCAAACAAAACTCCTAGAACAGAAAAAATATAAAATAATGTAACATTCCATTTGAAATTCAGTAAAAAAATAATAAACCCCGAACCCCAAGATGTAAATTTATATTTTATATCATTTTAAAGTAGCCCTAAAATCCATACTATTAGCGAGGTGTTTGTTTCGGGGAGCCAAATTATATAATTTGGATTTTCGAGGCTTAAAGTCTAATTCTGAGATTTATTTTGTAAAGATTTTCAAAAGTCAGGGGGTGCTTGGTAAATATTAGACCTAAATTGAAAGGATTTTGGAATGTTGAGGGCTGAATTGGTAAATGTTGGATTTACATAGAAAGGAATTGAAATGGAGGGGCTGGAAGTGTAAATATATATGGGGGAACTTGCATATGACCGGGCATATAAACCCGTTACCCATGTGTCCCGTAACCCTAAACATAATCGTGTATGTGTCAACCGCCACCCTCACTTCACTCATTTTGAGCAGCCGCTGCTGATTGTGTCACTACCATGGGCCACCGGACGTCGTAGTGCTGCCTCCGCTATCAGCAAAGATGAAAGACCTTGAGGCCGACGTCATGATCATCAGGAATGGTCGGGAAATGAAGTTGCGGGTGTAGCTACTGTTGTTCTCTAGTTAGACTACTCTTCTCGTCGCTACACTGCCGCCTCCGTGAAGACGATGCCATCGCTGGTCGCACCTCCTCTCCGCCACCTTTCTTCCACAGTCGCTTCGCCACCAACTGCTAGTGCTGTTGTTGTTCGCTGTGGTTTCTGCTCGTTCGCTTCCACCGTTCTCCTATTGATATGTCTCAGTCACGACCGTCGTTACCGCTCCAGCGGCTATTCCACTCGCTACCATCACCGCACGACACCAGGTGGGTGTTTGTGATTATCTTTCAGTCACGGTGTGTGTGCTAGCATGTTGTGTAATCGTTACTCAAAAGTGAAGCCACCACCACCACCGTGAGGTGGTGGCTATCATCTCCGGCCACCGCATGTCGCTACAACAGTGGCTGTATTATATGTATTATTGAATATGGATGTGTGTGTGTGATTCATTGTGTATTAGGCGTGTGTTTGATGGTGTAATGTTGTATGTTCATTGTATAGCCGGAAAATCCGAAGAAACCCACCATCACCACCAAAGTGGGGTGGTGGTTATCGCCACTAGCCGCCATGTTTAGTGGCGGTGTGCATTGTGCGTGATTAAGTTCCTATTAGAGATGCTTGGGCATATTTTAGTCTAGAATCATAACCACCATCACAAGGTAGTGGCTGCCGCCATCGACCACCACCGCATGAGGTAGCAGCGGGTGGTGTCCGGCCTAATAAAACCCTAATTGATCTAAAAGCCTAACCATTTGTCTAATTGGCATGCGATTAGGTTGGAAACCCTAATTAGGGTTTAGAAAACCCTAATTTTCTAGATGTTAGTTTTTGTCTTTGTCGGGACCCGCATTTTGGACCATTAGATTAGAGTTATGAATTAAGCCCGACCACACTGTATGATTGCTCTAGTTGATTGATGGACTTAGTGGATTAAGTCCTTAATAGGTTAAGTGTTTCTAATTAACCGTAATCGTCATTTTATGTGAAAACCCTAACTGTGTTGGGTTATGAGTTAGGCCTTTCTGTTGGGCCTAGATGTTTGGATCCTTGATGGGCCATCTAATTAC